AGGAGCTTCGTTTCGTCGGCCTCAGGCCGACACGTGTCGTGCGGGTCACTTGACCGTAATCGGAAACCGCGCATGAAAAGCCTCTGCCACCCAGGGCTATGTCCTGCTTAAGTGTTCGCGTTCAAGTTCGCGTCTGACACTGAGAATTTGTGGTACACAACAATATCGATGCCGTTTGCCATCCTTGGTGTCTAAGGTCCAAATACGTTTAACATTCGCCGGTTGAAATAAGTTGCATTTCAGAGATTTCTACAATAACACTAAATTTTAGTAAGGCCGGATTCAGACGCCGAACTTTTCAGGAGCCGTACTTGATTGGAATTAAGGCCGACCGAAAGTATTTAGACCGGCTGAATTGATTCAGACGCCGATCTTAATTGCAGCTGAACTTTTTAAACTTTCTAAATGTTCAAAAAGCGGAAAATGCTCATTTCGGTCATACTGCTTACAAACCGTTATAATAATTTATGCATTAGATTTGGAACATGGAAAGTTCGGCGTCTGCATCAAAAGGCCGTTCCAAGGTAGCTCAAAACGCGAAATTCCCGGCCGGGCTAGGCGGACAGAACAGCTGAGCCGTTCCAAATTGAAACAGGCGTTCCTTATTGACTCAGACGCCAAACTTTTCATGAACTAGGTTCGGCTCATGAAAAGTTCGGGGTCTGAACCAGGCCTAAGTATCGCACGTCCCATTCGCACACTTTCACCGTTATTTGGGGTCAGCAGTCTTCATTTAAGCGAAAGCAAAAACCTTAAGTATGCAAATTATCCGTGTAACGGTGGTTATTCATTTACAATAACACGCTCGAGGCAAGTAACAACGGCATCTCGCAGGCTAGTCTTTGGCCGTAGTTTCAGCTTTCCGAAGATTCAATAGTATAACTTACATCGATTTCTTCGCATATTGCTGGTTTTCAGTGTCACGCCATTCAAAATAGATCAAAATAAAAATCAGAACCTTTCAACAAAGATAAAGTCCAGAATCTGGGAAATGAAAGGAGGTGCATATACAAAGACCCTCGCCAAGATTCAGGTCAGAGGAATATTTCGTATACCAGATATCTGAAGAAATGTTTTACCCAAACTTATAGAAATTTGTATGGAGACGCCATGCTGGTGCTCACCTGGATGAGCTCCAACATGGCGGACGGAAACCAACAGAAACACCTGTTAGATTTGCTACAAAAGCGTGAATATATTCTTCGAGAAACTCATAAACATTAAATTAATACTTTTTTCTAATACATGAACTTTCTAGATACCAAAATTTCCTGAAATAAGTCAATTTTTTAACCTACATGACAGCTCTCTTGGCCGTCATGTAAATGCCGCGTCACGCAAGGGCTTAGAAATTCAAGCGTACTCTATCACAAAACCAAGAACCCGTTTGAAGCGAAAATTTGTACGAAAATTAGTTTTTAGCTGCTCTAATGCATCGTGAAAGGAAAATCTCGGTAT